GATTATTCTGGTAGCCTTTTTCTGGTCAACAGATGAACTTAAATCTTGTGGACAAGGAACGAGGATGGAGCATTTATGTCTGTTTCTTAGCAGAAACACATACTTGGGCTTCAGGTATCGAAGTTCTTGATGCTGACCTAAAAAAGATAAGACTGCCTCCCCTGCATTATGAAATTTTTTGGTTTCTTGTCTGTGTAAATGCTTTTCTATCTGCAGGGAGACCTTGGAAGTATGGTGAGCACCTACCTTATGTCTCCAGCCTTAAATCGGACTGGGCATGTTTACTAAATCTGAGATGGGTCTCATCTTCTTCCCCCCGTCTGTCATAATGACAAATAATCCAGAAGGCTTTAGAATGCTTTAAGGTCTTGCCTTCATAAGTGTGTGAATATGGCTTTACAAAGTCACAATTTTAACTGTTTCACCAAATCAAGTTTTTATTGCTGTAAAATTGACTGGTTCTCAAAGATCAAAGACTTTTATTTTTTGGCAATTCAAAGGTAGCATAAAAGGGAACTAAGTACTGTAATTAATTTTTCTTTTTTTAACTTTATAGAGCAAAGACCAAATTTGAAATAAAAAAGTGATTTTTTTAATCAGTGAGGTGTTTATCAAATATCCTTTAATGTTAAACTAATGCAGTGTTTTTGCTTCCTTATTGCCAGATGCAGGGCAGTATGCCAGCTCTGAATTACTCGCTCTTACTTCTTTTCAGTGCAGTTTGTGGAGAGGTCCAGGTATGACACGATACACCTGGTGCATAAGATATAAATATTGTTGCAATTAGCTTGAGGTTCAGCTTCTGACCTTTTAAGCATCACTAGTAGAATGGAACAATCCTTATTCTGGCGCGTGTAGGGCCCTTGGGAGTAGGATGCATTCACGAATACAGAAATGTATCACAAGATTAGGGAGAAAAATTGGTCCCCTGTGTACTAGAATGTCCTACAAGGCAGTGAGTCAGGGCTTGCTTTAACTTTGAAATGAGAGAGGCTGGACAAGTTGCCCTGTTCACCCCAGAGGTAGACAAGCCTGAAAGAAAATAATTTTCTGCCTGAACTTTCTTAAAAGCTATATTATACTGTGAACTTTACAAGAAGGATATGTTTCTGTTTTCCACGGTTTATATCTGGAAATAAAGCTTATGTTTTGTTATTTACTCCTTTATTTTGAGAGTTGTGTTTTTTTTTTTTTCTTTTGTGAGCAAATGCATGTCGCAGAACTTAATCTGAAGTTAAAAAAGCTTTCTGGTTTCAGCTACTGCCTGAAGTGACTTGTGACTTTAAAATGGCAAAATAGTGGATCTTGGTGATAAGAGGTTATAAGAAGATGTGGGCTCAGTGCAAAAACTCACTCCAATATGTTCTAGCAATGAGCTTATCACTGATTTCTGTGTGTAAAATAGACCCCTCTCTCTCTCTCTCTCTCTCCCTCTCTCTTTCTCTCTCTCTCTCTATATATATCTCCCCTGGTTCCCTTGAGGTTCATGGTACACTGTGTACATTTCAACTTGGGAGAAAAATCTCAAAAGATTGCCAATCCCTAAGAAACACCAAGGTAGATTTAATGATGTAAAGGCAGTAGATGATTCTAAAAGTCTGAAACCTGCTTTTATGTCATTAGCCAACAGTGTTGGGACAGTCCGTGACTTCTTCATGTACTGTCATGGATTAAAATGCCTTGTGTTATAACTATAAGGATATAACTTTCGATTTGGAATTTACTCCTTTTTTTTTCCTGCCGTTACATACTGTGTTATATCATATGAGAGTACATTTACCTATTCGTTGAATGTACATGAACAAAATACTGTCTATTAAATTAATAATATATATGAGCAAAAGTTTGAGCCTATTCTAAAAGTAACTTAGAACTCCTGTAAAAGTTATAAAATGATAGTAATATTTGGGCTGTTTTCTGAATCTGTCCTAACAGTGAGGATGAAGTGGTTAATCCTTGGCCTGAGAAATAGACTTTCTGGAAATCAGTATAATCAAATAGCATGTTCATTTGCATTAGAGATTTCTGGGGAAGCTTCATCGTCTCTTCAGCTATGAAGATATCCTTGCCAGCTGTGAAACCAGGTTGTTGGAAGGACAAATCTCTCAGGGCTGTCGTGGCCTTGGCAGTGCAGGAAGCTTCTAGCAGCACTGCCAGTGCCTGGGCTCTTGAGACTCAGCATATCGCCCACTTCACCTTTACCTTTAGGCTCAGATTTCTCTACTGCTGCGTGTTTTGGCAGCAAAAATGGTGCCTGGGGCCAAACGTGCTCTAAGCCTCGCACTAGGTCGAGGGAGCCGGAGGATGTTTCCAGAGGGGAAGGGAACAGGCCAGGCAACCGGAGAGCCTGCTGAGACAGCAGCTCCTGGAGCGGCGGCTCCCGCGGGAGCCCCAGCCCTGCCCAGTCCCTGTCCGAAGGGAACCTGGCACCACTGTGGATACCAGCGTCCCCAGAGGTTCTGTGAGTCCGGCCTTTAATGTATAAAGTGATGTCTATTCAGGGCCCTGTTCTCGGAGTGCTCTGGAAACAAGTGGGCTACAACTGGAAATCCAGTTGGAAATCCACAAAACCTGTGGAGTTTTAAATGACTTATTATTCCAGCATCATTCAGAAGTTATTCAGGAATATACACTAAACATGAAATATAAGCAGATAGTGTGATTTCATTGACTAAGTGTGCCTCTAAGTACATCTCAGTTTTAATGGCACACAATACTTGAGATTTAAGTGGAATGACTTAAATGCATGGAATGTGTCTTCTGCTATTCTTACCTGGGGTTGCCTGGATTCTTAAGGGAAAAATGTGCTTGACAGGCAAAGGTTATCACACCAACCTGTGGGCCATGTTAGCTTAATTTTTAAGGAAAGGTTTTGACCTATGAAACTTGAGAAAAAGCTCTTAAGAGGCCTTGTGGTGAACAGTCTTAAAAAAAATCAATTTAAGAATATGTAAAGTTGGCATTTGGGTGTTGACACATTCTGTGTTAAGTCAGTATGTGGCAGTACCCCGGTATTGTATTTTATTCATGTAAAGCATCATACGTCCGCATTTTCAATGTGAAAAGGCTGGCTGTATAAAGCCACTGTTCTGTATTGATCAAAATAGGGCTGGATGTTTTTCTTTTTACTATCATGCTTCAGGCATGCCACAGATTATCTGGAGAAGTACAGGTTTAGTAGCATGTAAATAGAGCACAACTGAACCCCTGTTTTCCTTGGAGCTTCTTGGAGACACCCGTACAAGGACATTACACTCCAGACACAGTCTTTGATTCCCAAGGACTCTTTTGTTATGTACATGTGCTCCCACCTTCAAATATATTAAGTTCACTATTAAATCTTTTCACATAACCCTTTTTCAGTAGATTCTTTTGAAGTTGATTAGGTTTTCCCACCAATACTGACTCTTATAGTGTAAAGACAAAATGTTGGAGTTTAATTTGATCCTTGCAGTGAAAAAATAAAATGACCTGTGCCCTCTGTCTTGCCTCGGTGTAGATGTGCTGCTCTGAGCTACCTAGTGCATTTGTATGGATGGATGCAACTGCGGAGACTGTTTGAGTGTGTTTGAGTCGACGCGTAGGTTGAGACAACGCTGGTTTCCTTCTGCTTTCCTTGCCCATAAGGGCGCCCTCAGGGTAGAGGCCTGTGTTTCTGCTGCCCTGGTTGTTCGGACCTGGCTTTACCCTCTGCTCTCCTGCTGGTTCCACAGAAACACGGTCTCCCGTTCACACCCCTGCCCCAGTCTCTACTGGGTAACACAGATTTGGGCCCTGGTGCTGGCGGCAGAAGTCCAGCGCGGTCAAGGCCCGTTGCTTTAGCTGGAAGGTCCTGTGCTGTACGTGTTTGGGAGGCGCCGGTGCCGTTTATCCTGGTGTCCCTGGCGCCACCAGTTCCCAAGCATGAGCGCATGGGATAAAGCCGAAGCCGTTCATCCCTTTCGGGGAGAAGGTCCCTCACCTTCTCGCCCACCAGAGGCAGTTTCGGGTACGATACTTTGTCCTCGGGCCAGGACGAGGCCTCGGCAGCCAGTGAGGATTTTGGTGCTGTTTAGCCACGTCTGCCCTTTTCAGTGAGACTTGAGCATTTCTGCTGAAAGTCTGGGACAACTTAATGTCTTCAATTTGGCAATGGCTTCACCCCGGCCACAGTTCTTTTTTGTTCAGTGAGAAGCCGCACGCCTCTCTGTGGGCAATCCCCCGAGAAGGTTGTTGTGGTTGTTCCTCTGCGGCCCCCGCTTGGCAG